TGTGTCCCAAGGCACGTTAAAACAAGAAACACGACAAACCAAACAGCCAAGCCTGGCAACAGGTAACTTCCTGTCGTTTCCTTGCTCATAAAATAAACCCGGGGATATAAACACAACTACACATTTATCCACCTGGTTTTGAACATCTCTACACTTGAGGACCATCCGCAGCATTTTAAAACACGGCCATTTTGCCTTCAGTTTACCTTTCAAGGCTTCCGCTAGGCTAGTGACTCCTGTGCTATGGTTGACTTACCTTGCATCTTGGAGCTAACCTGTATACCTGCACACTTAGGAGGAACTCTCTCCAGAGCTGGCTAGGCAGCAGCTGAAATCAGCGAACCAACAGCCACCCTTCATGGCTTTGACCACCTTCACCTGGGCTGGCAGCAGAGCTTGGTAATCAGGGTGCAGGAATGATTAAGGATTTCCTGATAGCAAGATGCATGGCAACACACCTGTGGTTACAGGTATACTTTATCTCACACCCTAGGACAACAATCTAACCCTACACTGTACCCAGCCTTTGCCCTTCAGAGGATGCTGAGATTGGGTCCGTGTTGTGCAGTTTCTGCAGGCTTCTGGTCACTAAATGCTAGCAGGTTAACTAATTCCTGCAGGAGAATATTCTCCTGTCTGCCTCCAACCCTCCCCGCAGGTGTGAGAGCAGGGGGTCAGGGTTCAGCATGGACTGCAGAGCTGCGGCTTTCCTGCTGGTTGCCTCGCACACATTACTAGAAAAAAGAATTCTGCTCCAGACTTGCTTTCCCTTGAGAACACACTTGGCAGAAAAGCTGTGGAGAGGGGCATTTTAAATCCCTTCTCTCCACCTCCCACCCAGCTCTGTCTTTATCAAGAGTTCTGCTAGTGGAGGCAGGCAAATCAGCCAAGGCCACACCCCAGCAGTCACTGGCGGCAGAACCAACAGGCTGACTGCCCTTGGGAGGGAGCAGTGTGGAATACACCAAGAAGAAGGCTGGCTTCCCTTGGCCGGGCAGTTGCACCTGGGCAGTTACCAAGGCCAAGTCTGGTTCCCTGAAGCAGCCCCACAAGCAGCACAGTCTGCATGGTGTTCAGGAGCCTGCTAATGGCTGAGCCAGCACCTGCAGGAGAGGCAGCCCAGGTGAGCTTTCCCTGGTCAAGTTCACCAAGGCTCAAGTGATAGACCTCAAAAGAGCTACTACACAAAGCCAGGAGCAAGGGCAGTCAGCTCAGCAACAACCAGACTGCCTCAGTACCCTTGGGGAAACAGCACAGAGTTCATACAGGGTACAGGCGCTCACTAGTCTGTGACCTGAGCCAGCAGATCCCTAAGCTGCTCCCGCCACTCCCCACTTCCCTGGAGCCCTCCGGCCAGGCTGCCCACCTCTACGAGGGGAGCCTTCGATGCTCTCTGCGCTGGACGAGTGTGCATCCGCTGGGGCTCGCCGCAGGCTACTGAAGTAGCCACGAGATCGTGAGGCACCGCTTCGAGGGGAGGGCCCGCTGCCAGGACCGCCGTCTCTCCGCGCGAAGATGCCACTGAAGAAACGCAGTAGTCGGTGCTCAGAGGCTGCTCCGGCCGCTGCAGGTCGCTGTTGTCCAGCGTGCGGTTCTTGCTCTTACTGCGCTCCCAGCGCTCCAGGTCGGAGAGCGCATCGTTCTTGCTGAGCACCTCGCCGACATCGAGGGTATTGCGTTTCTCCGAGGCTGGCTGTGCAGCGGTGGCGGGTTCCAGGGCGGCCTCAAGGCCAGCCTCGGCCTCGTCGCCCAGCGGCCATGCGAGGCTTCCGGAGCTGCTGTGGCGCCTCCCACTGCTCAGGGCCGGGCTCCGAGGTGCCTCAGACCCGCTCCAGTCCCTGAAGCTAAGACTACGCCGCAGGGGCGCGGCCCGGGGCCCCTCCATATGGGGGCTGCAGGGCTCTGGAGAGCCCGACCCCTCCACGACCTGGGGACTGCCCGCCAGGGCCGCAGACTCGGGGCCGCTTGAGCATGGCCGGAGCCTCCCGAGCTCCAGCTGCCCAGTGCTGCGGGTGCGGAAGGTACGGAAGTCCCAGGCGCGCGACTGGAGCCCCTCCAGGTCTTCAGTGCCCGCAGCCTCCTCGGCCTCTTCCACGAGCCGCCCGGGTGCGTCCGGGGAACGCGCGGGCCGGGGTCGCGGTGCCAGACGCGGGCCGGGGCCACCGCAGCCCGGCT